TCGCCGTCGCCGTCGTCGTCGTGGCGGGGAACTGACAACCAACCGATAACCCGATAAACCGATAAACCGATATGCGGCACAAGGATCGCCTCCACAGGTTCCCCCCCGGCGGTCTCAGACCAGCCAATCAACCGATCAACCGATAAACCGATCAACCGATAAACCGACGAAGAGAGGGGGGCGCGCCAGCAATCGCTTCTATGTTCGCATACAGAGTTTATCGGTTTTTCGGTTGAGCGACCGATCCACCGATAAACCGATCAAATTATATCGGTTTTTCGGTTGATCGGTTTGCAAACCGTTCAACCGATTAGTCTTTATCGGTTTATCGGTTTATCGGTCGGATGGATTTCCGGAAGCCGTTGCCGCTGCACTCGAATTTTGGGCCACTTTGGGGGCCGTCATGGGGCCCTCTTGGGCCGTCATGGGCGCCTCTTGGGCCGCCTAGGGCATAGGCCGTCTTGGGGCCCTCTCGGATGCCCCTTGGGTCGTCTTGGAGTGGTCTTTGGGGCCTCTTGGGTCCTCTTGAAGCGTTGGGAAGTCGGACAGGCGAGAACGCCAAAATCTTTCAAAAACCTTCGGAATACCATTGATTGTGGCCGCTTGGGGCCCTCTTGCGAGACCTCCTGGAGTCTTCTAACGGCGTCTTGTGGGGCCATCTTGAGGCCATCTTGGGCGTCTTGGGGCGATTCGGGGCCCTCTTTGGCAATTCTTGGGGCCTCTTGGAGCCATCTTGGCTCTTTTGGGAGCTCTCCTGGGCGAGGCAGGCCGACGCGGGCCATCCTGGCGGATCCCAGAGATGCCCGGGCAAGGACTGGTCCTGGCCCAAGACTTCCACTGCCGGATGCAGCAGCGGCAGCAGCAGCAGCAGCAGCAGCCCTCTCGGTGCTGCATGAGCATCGGGGCGCTCCACTTCGTGCGACACGGTGGCGGATTCGAAGTTTTTGCCGCACCGGCCCAAGCGATGACCGACGACACTGCAGCATTTACCCGCGCTAATTGCAGAAAGGAGTGGGGGTCAGTTGTGGCGGATTGTCGAGAGTGGGGAAACAGTAGGGGACGCGTACGTGTGCCAGAGTTTCGAGTGATACTGGCGCCCCCGCCTGGCCCCGCGTAGGGCCGTCCCCCTTGCGACGTCATGGCGTTCGCGTCGCTTCGCCCTGCCTCGCCAGAGCTGGGAGTACAAAAACATGCGAATGGCGATGAACGTGCAGGTTGGATGCCTCACCACCCACCAAACCACCCCAAACCCAACCCGAAAGCCTCAAGTTGCCTTCCATTCCCATTGGGGGGGGGAGGCGGCGGGGAACATCGAAAACAAACACATGGAGCTCGTACCCCCCGCCCAAACCCGAAATTTGGGTCTTCGTGTTGGGTTGGTGTGGTCTGGTAGGTAGCCGAGGCCATGACATGTGGGACGAAACAGCGGGCGGGCGGGACGACGCAGCAGGATGGGGATGAACAGGAGAGGGAAGAGGAGGAGGAGGATCAGGAGGAGGAGGAGGAGGAGGAGGAGGTCAGTGGCAACGATAAGGGGGGGATAGGCACAGGGGGGAACGCATCGACCTCCAATCGCCCCTTGATTGCCGATAGGATCCCGATAGCCCAAACCTGCCCAGGAAGGTGCAGATTCGCTTTCGGAGGCCTATCGACGATCTATCGGCGATGTATCGCCGATTCCAGGCCGATGCGTCCCCTCCATACGCCAGTCCCCCCCATCGTTGCCCCTCAGCAGGTCTCTGCTTGCCTTTCCGTCTGGCTGCGCACCAGTTCTTGCGCCCAGACGGCAGGCGTAACGTTGGGAAACGACTATCGATCCTCCACACCTCGTTTTTCGGTGCAACTGGATCCGTTCTCGCCCCTGGAAGTGATGTCTCGTCCCCGAGCCCCTAAATGCGGGATTGCACCAAGATCCGAATAGGATCCCAAGGAGACCCCAATCGGATTCCATTGCGAGCCTAACAGGATTGCAATTGTAGCTCAGTGCTATCACAATCGGTGTCCGATATGTTTCAGAGAGGAGCCCAGGAATTCTTGACGTTTCGCTTATCTTCACCAGCCCATCCAGAAACGATGCCCATGAGAGCTGACGGGGGGAGAGGAAGAGGCACGCATAGTCGAACAGCGAGGGAGGCTTGGGAAGCTCCGTGGCCATCTCGAGCCGTCTTGGAGCGGTCTTGGAGCCGTTTGGAGCATCTTGGGAGCCATCTTGAGCCAGCTTGGACTTTCTGAGCCATCCTGGAGGTCATCTTGGGCTCTCTGTGGCCTCTCGGGGGCCTCTTGGGGGCCTCTCGGGTGCCTCTTGGAGACCTCTTGGGACTTCTTGGGGCGCTCTCTGGGTCCTCTCGGGAGCCTCTTGGGAGCCCTGGAGGGCCTCTTGGGGCCATCTTGGAGGCGGTCGATCAAAAGAGGGGTTCCCTTATCTCCGTCCCCCCTCGGGGGCCACGACCCTCGTGAGAGGTGTCAAAAATTGGCCCTCCCAGGGGCCGAGAAAGGACGCTCCAACTCGTCGCGGCCCCCTCCTCCAAAAAACCTCAGGGAGGGGAGGGGAGGGGGCGGGTTCCCCTCCCCAGCGGGAAAGGGGCTGTGGAAGAGGAGAGAGACCCTACTTGGACCACCCGTCGCCCCACGGGCTGGTGGGATGTGGGCTGTTTCACGGATTTGGGCTGTCGGCGGGGGCCCTGGCCTCCGAAGAAGCCGTCTTGAGGCCTCTCTTGGGTTGTCCTACCGTCGGGGCGTTGACCTAAGGAACCCTAAACAAGGAACGGGGCCCCTTTCTCCCATAAGTTGAACTTCGATTTCCAATGGAAAACTTCAGGAAAACAGCAGGCAAACTGTCGAACAATCAAGGAATACCGAGCCCCTCCCCAACGAAAAGGGTTCCTTCTTCAGGGCCCCGGCTGTACTCCTTCCTACTCCCACCGCCTCCCCAACCGCGACATTGTGCAATAGATTCCTGATTTTTGTTTCGGTGCCAGCAGTATCGCTCGGGGGTCACCTTTCCCGGGGATTCACTCATTTCTCTAGATGCTACAAATCACGGTGTGGGGGTGCACGATCGCCTCCCAGGGCCAGTTCTTTCTTGATTGCCACTTGGGGAGATGTTTGGGTTGCGGAGGGGTACATCCAGATCCAAGGCCCAGACTCCCCGGAAGTGTTTGGGGCTGGGGAATGATTTGAGCAGATCTGGATTGGAAGGCTCTGAGAAAACAGGCTGGATCCGATGCAAGTCTTTGTCTTCTTCCCGTAGGGCCTCATCCAGGGCTCTCGTCGCAACTGATGTATTCGTCTCGGAGCCCTGGTCAGAGCGCCCTCTAGCAGAAGTTTGTTGAGTAGCCGTATTCGGCGGTTCAAAGATGGGGCCCTGAGAGACGGGGCCCTGAGGACAGTGGCGCGTCGGACAGAGAAAGGTCAGGCTGGGATCCCCTTCCGAGCCCTACAGCCTGTGTCCTGTGCCGCCTTCTCATATCACGGGCCCAAGCGGTGTCGTAGAATTTTAAAGTGGGTGGCTGTTCGGTGGCAGCCATCGCCGCCACACGGCTGACAAGCACCATTGCCATAGCAAGGCGCGCGGAAGCATCGAGATGTTGATGCTCCCTTGGTCGAGGTTTCTGCTGTCCATCTTGTGGCCCCGCTCTCGGGATGCGAAAGCGTCGGGGAGCTGGGTTTCGTGGCCATCGGTTCGAGTCGACGCTTTTTTGCTTCGAGTACGCCTTTGTCTCTGGGTGAACCTCAGTTGCGCCTGTGTCGTCGGAGCGATAATTGGCGGACGTGGCGATGAAATTGGCGATAGCGCGCGTCATTGTCAGCGCAGCGCACACTGCAGGATCCTGCCGAGTCCCTCTTGGAACGCAGCGCAACTGTCATGGACTCTGATCCCTGCGAGAACCCCCCACGCAACAATGGAGACTCTCTGATCTGAAAACTTACGGCAAAGGAATCAATACGAATGATGGCAAACGCCGGTGATGATGAGAGTGCCGATGGTGGTCCTTCACCGGCGTTCCGAAAGCTTCGCCTCGACGCGATGAGGGGCGTGGTACTTCGCCAGACTTCCGCGCAGGGGCTCGGAGTGTTTTGAAAACCATTGCACTGTTCTTTAGAGCGGGGTTGTGCGGTACCCGCTTGAGCCATGATGAATTGGGGACGTTTTTGGGCCCCCACCATCCCAGGCCCGAGCGCATGGGTCCTTTCGTTCATGTTCTACGGGCTGACTGCGGACGCCGAAATAGAAGTGCCAATTGGGAAACGATTGTGGGCCCCCTTCCTTGAAGACCACAGGGTACATATTTGAACCGCCCAAGCGTCGGCCTCGCACTGTTCTCCTAGAGTCGGTTTCTTTCGAGCAGCCTGGGCTCCTCGATGGCATTGGTAAGTGGCCGAGGCCTCCCGCGCATGCCCGAGCAGTCGCGTGGGGCAGCTGGGGGTCGTGTGCCTGCTGCTCGCAGGCGCCAGTGCGTGAAGGTGGGGCCTGGGCCCGCTCTGGCCCCCCATGTTTCAATGCAGCCCCACTCCAGCGTGGTGGACGCTGCTCCCCACCCGGGCTCCCTCCCCTCCTCCATCACGTGCCTCCAGCTCCAAAGGCTGGAGGTCGCCGGGCCCGCCGACCTGATCCGCGTGCCCTCTGCCCCTGAGCTCAGCACCCTCTGCCAGCTTCCATCATCCGGTCCCCACCTCCTCGTCCTCCTGCCCTTCCCTTGGTAGTCCCCAAACGTGGTGGTGACGACACCCGGCGGTGAGTCTCGCGCGATTTGGTGTTACCACCTGCTTTGGGGACTCGCGTGTTTTTTTCGAGGATGTCCCACACGCTGGTGGGTGGGTCCAGGAGTCACAAAACCCAGCGGTGACCCCGTGTTCCAAAACCCGGCGGTGTTTTTTTTGGGGGGGAATTCTAGGTCACCACTTGATATTTCGCCACCTGGTTTGGGGGCTCCCAATTCCCTTCTCCAAACTTCGGCACCACCCTCTGGAGCCCTGCCCGACCTGGCCGCTGCTCGCAGGCCTGGCTGTTCATGGGGGGCGTGTCCCCGACCAACGAGCCCATGAAGGCGGGGGCCCGTTCGCCGTCTCGGCGGGCTTTGGCTCAGCGTCGTTAGACCCATCCCCGTCCGAGCAAACGAAGTCTCGGGCCCATTGCAGGGCTCATCTGGATTTCTCCGAGTCGATCCGATTCGATTTCGACGGCCGCCGATTCCGATTCGACTCGACTGGAGATTCCGATTTGGATGCCGATTCTTCCATGGAGGCCTACTTGTCAGCCGATTCCGGCCGATTCGGTTTCTCCTGATCTGGCTGCCGATTTCAGTCGATCCGATTTATTTCGATCGCCGATCCGACTTATCTATTCGATTCTGGTCTCTCCGGCCACTGGGAGCATGTGCCGTCTCCGCCGGATGTGGGCGCCAGCGTCCCAGCCCCGGGCAGGCAGGTGGCTGACCGGTGGCTCGTGGAGCGGAGTCGGTCACAGGCAGTTTCAGGCGGAGGCGTGCTTCAAAGCCTGGGGCCGAGGGGCCTCGTCTCTCTCGTGCCACGCCGTGGCGGGACGTGCGCATGGGCTATATAACATAACCCGGCCGCCTGCGGCAGGCTCCGCCACCGTGCCATCGCAGCACTCCGTGTGGCGACGCTCGGGGCACCGCCCAGGAGGCAGCAGCATGTGACACATCTGGTCCCTCCTCCTCCTCCTCCTGCTCCTCCTCCTCCTCCTCCTCCTATTCCCTGCGGGGGTATCACTTGGACCGTCTTGGGGCTCTTTTGGGCCCCCGCGGCCGTCTTGGAGACCACTTGGAACGTCTTGGGCCCCTCCTGACCGTCCAGGGAGTCTTTGGGGGCTTGCTTGTGACCCTCGTGGGACCGTCTTGGGCTGTTGTGGAGCCCTCTTGGGTGGGCTGTTTCGGGACCCTCTTGAGCTCAGGGCCCTCTCCGGATTCTAGGCAGTGATTCTGAGGGGGCATGTTAGGGCATTCACATGTCGGGCTCTTTCGGATTACGTTTAAGTCGGGCCTGTCCCCCTACAGGGGGATTTTCGACGAAAAATAAATGGTACCCCAAACATACCCCAAGAAGGTCTAAAAATACTAAAAAAATAGTCCCCAGACTATTTTTTTTTATTATTTTTTGACTGTTTGGGGGGTATTTTTATTTTTCGTCGAAAATCTCCCTGTAGGGGGACAGGCCCGACTTAGGATTATGTTTGGTTCTCCGAGCCTCTCCTGGACCGATCTTGAACCCACAGGCCCGGGACGCCCAACGTATTCAAACGCCAACGAGGTCCCTGGGGTGTTGGACAGAGGTTTGCCCTGTCCGAGGACCGTTTGGCCTCTCTGTGGTGTCTGGGGGCCCCCTCGTGGCTTCTGCGGCGAGCTGGGGGTCCTCTTGGGGGTTGCTGGGTGCGTCCTTCTGGGGGTCCTTTTCGGGGGTGGCTGAGCTTGGGAGAGCCCCCGTGGATCGTCGGGCCGCCCGTGAGGCTTCGCGAGAAGGGGGGGGCGTGCAGGTGGGTGTGATCCCGGAGGGGGGGGGGCGTGAAATACCCGCACGAACCCTTGCACACAGCCCCTGACATCCTACCACGCGTCAACGCGCCCCATTCGGGGGTGGACAGAACCCCCAACAGTGACACGTCGATTAGTGAATTGTCCGTTCTCGGTTCTCGAGAGGTCGCCGTGGCCGCTATTTTCCAGGCTTGGGCCCGCCAGGTTTGGGCCTCAGGTCGTTTTCACTAAACCACGTTTTACTGAAGGGGGGTCTGTCCATCCCCGACCCATGGGGCATGGTGGCGAATCCAGTTGCGCTGCCGCGCGAATCCGCCACCGCGCTCGAGGGTGCGCCGGGAGGGGAGTGGGGCCTGGGGGAGCCAGGCGGCCCCGAACGTTTCACCCGCAACTCTTATGTTCGCGTCATTCTTGTCCATGGCTCCAGTTCCATATCCTACGTCACGGATCCGACTCGATCGTCGGATACATTCTGATCGATCGATCGATCTGGCCTCGTCCATTGTCGACATCACTTGTTCGATCACCTCGCCTTGGATGCTTCTTCGTCGATCCAACCATTTCGATATGGTCGGTAAGCATGTATTCGGACGACCATCTCTAGATAAGATAGCGCCTCGCGCTTGCAGACAGCCGGTCCCCGCTCCACCTCGGACTCTGTCCTGGATCTGCTCAACGAGTCTGTGCGCGCATGTTCTAGGCTCAGCGTGTTTATACCACACATCCAGTATTGATTATCTCCCAGAAGTGTGCCGGTCAGCGCCGATGTGTGCTACAAGCAAGCTGCACAATTTCGATCGGCGGCGAGCGAGGGAGGGCAGTGAGAAAGGGCGGGCCTGCTCAGAAAGCTCGGAAGCCCCCTGGCCTTCTGAGAAGGTTTCTAAGCCTTCTCTGAAAGCACAGTAAAAACCTCTCAGAAGGCGGTGGGGCTTCTGAGAAGCCCCGCCGCCTTCTGAGAAGGCCGTCTCCTGCTCATTTCCCCCCCTCGCTCGCCGCCGAAGGGAGGGCGAGGTCGCAGAGAAACGCACGCAAACAACTCCGGCGTGCTTCCGCGCATGTGCTTCAGCAGAAGGGGACGGACGGGCAGTTGGCGGTGCCGCACCACCCGCGCAGAGGTCGGCTTCGACGTCAACGGCGACATAGACATGCTGAGCGGGCACATGGTCCACGCGCACCCCATGCCGAAGTTCCTCGAGGAGATCGGCAACCGCAAGACGATCGACTTCTGGTCCCTGAACAACGGCGGGTACGAGCCGGAGGCAGCCTCGGGGGACTCGGAGGGGGTAGCCGGAGCGGCCCCACGGTTCTGCCTTTGCCAGAATGCATGTTAGTAGGTCAGGGTTGGGCCAGTTCGCAGCGGCCACATGGGGGTACCGAGGTGTGTCATTGTTTGTCATGCCCTCTTGCATATGTGGCTACTACTCCTTGTGCGTCAGAGGAGTAGTAGCGGGATGCGGGGGGTGGCTGCGGTGTTGGAACGGGCCGACGCGTGCGAGCGGTCGTCGGGAGCGCCATGGTTACCCCTGCGATTCCATTGCGTTTCCGCGTGAGCAGTCCCGTCGTCATACCTTGCAGTTGGAGCGCCTTACAGTGGCAATCAGTATTACCGTTCCACGTGTACTATGTATGACCCGCTCATCCGAAAGCTTACGGTTGGAAACAGGTGTGTGTGTGTGTGTGTGTGTGTGTGTGTGTGTGTGTGTGTGTGTGTGTGTGTGTGTGTGTGTGTGTGTGTGTGTGTGTGTGTGTGTGTGTGTGTGTGTGTGGGGGGGGGGTGGGGGGGGGGGTATCGCCAGTGTGTTTCTCGATCTTTGGTTGCGCGATGGTCTTGGCCTCGCTGGCAATCTCCGGAAGGCGGGCATCGCACCATAGACGCCCCGTCGCGATTCCGATCGACGAGCACGTCGAGGCGTGATCGCGGTGGTGCTCCTTGAGGGGGGAGGGGGGACGATCCTGGGCAACCAGGGGAGCAGGCAGCTGCCTCAATGCGTGAGGTGCGGAGACCTCGGCGCAGAGGCTCCCCTCGCTGAGCGGCGCGGGCGCCGGTCCACGAGCGGCCGCGAGGCGCAGCCCAGGCCCCCCGCGCAGCGAAGGGAAGGCGCGTCTGAGAGTCGCCCGGGGGCATCAGGCGTGGAAGAGCAGGGCGTCGGCGTCGCACAGAGCCCGCCCGAGCTTCTCCCCTCGGGGCGAGGAGGAGGAGGAGGAGCAGGAGGAGGAGGAGGTTTCGTCCCCTCCCCGCTCGCCTCCCTCCCTCCCTCCCTCCCTCCCTCCCCTCTCTCCCTTCCCCCTGCTCCAGGGGTCGGGTGGGAGCTGCGGTGCCTCAGACCACGCGTGGCCTCGAATCCCTCGGGTCATGGCGCCCTCTGGAAGCGAAGCTAGCCTGCGATCATAAGACCTCCACGGCCGCGACGGATGGGCCCAGCGGACACCCCAGACACGCCTTTGCAGAGCAGCTCTTTCGTTCGTTCTTCCCCCTCCTCGCCCATCCCCCCCTCGTGCCCCCTCGTGATTCCCCAGTCCGGCTCCACTGCTCAGGGCTGCCAGCGGGGGGCGGGAAGCGATCGCTTGTGCGGAGCGCCCGAGGTCATCAACGCCACCCTGCACCCGGCCAACGGCTACCACCTCGAGGTCGGGAGACTGGGCCCCGACCAGTCCGGTAGTTTGCACGTGCCCTTGGCAGCTGCAGCTGGGACTGAACGACATATTGGCCAATCCTGCTCCTTCACGTTCTTCGATCGAGGAGACTGCCAGGAGTTCCAGTACGATGCACATTCGCTTTTGCATTTTCAATCGTCACACAGGGTTTTGCGTTTCGTGTTCCATCTTTCAGAGTGAGTGGGCCCGAACGGTCTTATTGTTTCTCTTCGCGCGCGTGGCTGGATGGAGTGCTCCGTCTCTGGAGGCTTTCATGGGGTGATACTTGGGGGCAACACGTGGCGGCAGCACATGGGGACGATACGTGGGGGCATTACATGGGGACAGTACATGGGGGGGCGATATTTCGGGACAACAGATGGGGAATCTACTTGACGGCAGAACATATGGGCGATACATGGGTGCAATACATGGGGACGACACTTGGGGGCAATACATGGGGGCGATACTTGGGGGCGGTACTCGGGGGCAGCACATGGGGGCAATCAATGGGGGCAGAATATGGGGGGCAACATGTGGGGAACCCGTGGGGGGCAATTCTTGACGCTTCGTGTATCCCCACCAGAGATATGTGCAGCTGATGAAGGGGTCGGCCCTCTGGGGTCTTGGGGCCTTCCCCGTGGTGCACGGGATGGTGGACCTTGGAGCCCCGTGCCGCTTCCGAGTGGTTCAGCCTTCGCAGTCGTGGCCGCTCCCCTGGGCCCCTCCCATCCACCAGGCAGGTTTGCGACGTTCCTCGGCAGCTCAGCTCACCTCGCTCGCACACTCCGTTGGAACGACCTGGGCTTGGCGCCCCACTGGCGACTCGCCCATCGCTTACCACCCCTGGACGCCCACCTGGCTTGGTGGACACGCAGTCATCGGCGCACTCGTCCTCGCGCCCTTGAGCGGGCTTTGCCTCACGGCGCACCCCTAATTCCCTGGCATTTTGCTAGGCTGCAAGTGCCTGAGCTTCCCTGGACGCCCTCAGCCCGCCAGCTCTCCCGCGCAGCCTGCCGCTGCCTGGTGAGTGGGCCGGCCAGCTTGCGGCGCGTTTAGTAGCTAATCAGGCCGCTTCCGTGTCCCGGAACGCTTCTGACTCCGCTTGCGCTTTCGCTGGCGGACGCGACCGAACAAGTATCCCCACCAGCCCATCCAGAAACGATGCCCATGAGAGTTGACGGGGGGAGAGAGGAAGAGACACGTATAGTCCAACAGCGAGGGAGGCTTGGGAGGCTCCGTGGCCATCTCGAGCCGTCTTCGAGCGGTCTTGGGGCCGCTTGGAGCATCGTGGGAGCCATTTTGAGCCAGTTTGGGCTTTCTGAGCCAGCTTGGAGGTCATCTTGGACTCTCTGTGGCCGCTCGGAGGCCTCTTGGGTGCCTGTCAGGTGCCTCTTGGAGCCTCTTGGGGTGTTTTTGGAGCCCTCTTGGGGGCCTCTTGGGAGCCCTGGAGCGCCTCTTGGGGCCATCTTGAAGGCGGTCGGTTAAGAGAGGGGGGAGTCCTCGATTTCCCTCCCCTCCCCGGGGCCACCATCCTCGTAAGGGTGTCAACAATTGGCCCTCCCAACCACCGAAAAAAGGAGCCTCCGACACATCGGTCCCCCTCCCAAAAGACCTCAAGGAGGGGAGGGGGAGGGTTCCCCCCCCGAAGGGAAGAGGGGTTGTGGAAGAGGCAAGTGACCCTCCTTAGACCACCTGTCGCCCAAAGGGCTGGTGGGATTCATTCGCCCCCGCCGCCTTCCCCCACTCTTTACCTGCAAATACAGGGTGGTAGGTGCACGATCGACCCGGGAATAACTGTAGTTTGCCTTGAAGACGGGCAGCAATGAATAATGATAACAATACTACTAGTATTAATAATACTGGTTATCATAACACTAATGATGATAGAAATAATGATAACATCAAGGGCATAACAAAAAAACCTACCCTGGTTTACGAGGCGCTGTGCGCTGAAACTCCTGTGGGCTGACAGGGTAAGCCCTGCGTGATGTGCCGCGTCCTGGCGGCTCCAGGCTTTGGGGGTTCCCAGGAGGTTTGCAGACCACGCACTTGCAACCAAGGGTAGGGTTGTTTTTTTTTATCCTTCAACAGCAACGATAATAATAATGCGACTAAACATTTAAATGCGAATGCGAATAATAATAATGTCAATAATAATACGACTAATATTAATCATAATAACAACAATGACAATAACAATAATAATAGGACTAATAATACGAATAATAAGAAGAATGGCATCGGTCGGCGCGGATGTCGTGGATCGGCGTTGGATCCCCGTGGCGGCGCCTCCAGCGCCGCCGCTGGTGCGCTCGGCGCGCCAATGGGGTCCCGCGCTGATCCGAGACGACGGTGCGGGCCCCGGAAAGCTGCACGAGGTGTCTGCAGATCGGGGGCGGCAAAGAGGGGGGTGATGACTAGGGGTGTGTGGATATCATGGCGGGGGCCATGATAGTTCCCCAGATCTCATGGCGCCTCTTCTTATTTCATTACGTTTCTGGCCCGCCCGCTGGGCCGCGCACATGCAGCCGGTCATGATTTGCACCCCCCCCTCTTGGACATCCCCCTCTTGGCCGTTCCCGAGCAGATGTGTCTTCTGTATGTACGCGCCGGTCGTTGAAAGTAGGTATTTTTGGGATGCCCAATTCCTGATCTACTCTAGGCGCCTTCCTACTTCAGGAGTCGAGCGGTGTTCCTTGCTTCCTCCTCTCTAGGGGGCGGGTGGAAGCCCAATCTGTTTCCAACGCCTTCCTACTTCATGTTTCACCCCACTTCTTTTCCGACCGGCGTGTAAGTGTTGTCGGAGTGTTCTCTTCGGGGGCAATCCTTGACAAAGCCAGATCCCCCTCCTGCCCTGTGCGTGGGCCTTCCTCAGAGGTCGGCGTGATCTGCGTGACCATGAACCATCGCCTGAGCGGCAGGGGCAATGACCCCTGGGCGGTGCTGAGGTCGTGACGGGAAGCGGGCAGGGGGGGTGGTAGGACTGGTAGGAGGGAGGCGGAGGAGGACGCGGGAGGACAGATGGTTGATGATGCTGTCCCATCTGATGCCTGCTGGAGGGCCCCGTTCGTCAAGGCTGGACCCGCTTCTAACTCCTGGTCGGGGCGCGCGCCAGGGCAGTTCGGGGGTCGAGTCTGAGGGGGTGGGCGGGTGAAGGGGTGGGGCGGGGAGGAAGAGGAACGTCTCGGCATGTGCTCGGAGGTCCGAGATGACTCCAGCGATTCTGGGGGCCAGGGAGGGAAGATCGGGGAGGCGGGCGTGGAGAAGAGCGGACAGATGGGTGGAGCAGGTTGAGAGGGAGGCGGAGGAGGAGGAGGGCTTTGGGAGGGAAGAGGCGGAGGAGGATGCGGAGGAACAGGGTGAGGATGATGTCGAGAAGAAGGGGGCAGTGGAGGAGACGGACGAAGAGGAGGAGGAGGAAGAAGAAGAAGGAGAGGAAGATGGAGAGGGAGTCAGAGGCGGAGGACGGCGGCGGACGGGGAGCCTGTTGCCGAGGTAGAGACAGAGGAACGGGCGGAGGGAGGGGGGGGGGAAGCAGAGGGCTTGGGGGACCAGGAGAGGCGAAGAGCAGGATCAAGAGGGGAGGGACGGCAAGGAAGAGGGGGAGAAGGCCGAGCGCAGGGAGAGAAGCGGGAAGAAAGAAGAGGAGAGGAGAGAGGAGGCGGCGGAGGTTTAGGTAACTTGTTCGCGGAGACCTAACGGGCATCTGGCAGTCATGCTGTGTGAACAAAGACGCACGGCTCAGGCAAGTTTGCTTAGATGAGCGGGCACGGTGCAGCTGCTGTCAGACAAAGTGCCATCATCGCCAGGTCGCGCGACGACACCGAAGAGTTGCTCTTCCAGACCATGCACAATTTATCTTGGAATTACATCGGAGGCCTCAACCCGAAGTGGATCAACACCATCGTCCCACGGCGGCTCCGGGGTCAGCGGCAGAGGGAAGTAGGCATGATGGGACAGGAGGGGCCTCCCGAGATGAAACGTGTGAGTGACAAGGGGGGAAGGGAGCACGAGAGCCGCTCGGCTCGGTGCGTTCGCCTGGACCGCTCCTGTCCAGAGCCAAAGGGTTTCGGTCTCGCTGCTCACTGTTGCCAACAACAGACTGCAAGAGAGCCTTGTCCGTTTGTCCAGTCCACTCCGCTCCCATGGAGCTCGAGCGACCTTACCCCTCTCCCTTCAGCTGGTGTGATGGTGTTCCGGAGCAAGACCCGACCCTTCGCAGGGACTGCGACGGGCATTACAGTCAACGCGCCTAGTAAGGTCGCGCGCCTTCATCTAGGATACCCTTGCGTCCTTGCCTCTGTGGCCCGTCCTTTGCCGTTTTCACTGGTCGCCGCCGCCCCAAAAATCCCAACTTCGGCCTCTAAGGGTCTTGCGTCCTTACCACGCGTTCTTTATTTACGTTTTGACTGTAGAGGCAATGTCCTGCTCGTTGCCTGCGGTTGCCTACTGCTGCGCGCATGACAGAGCGTGGTGTGGGCATTGCCGACCGCCCTGCTCGCTGCTGTCACGCGGACCGCGGGGACGAGGATTCAGAGCTGCTCCTGCCTCGGAGTGGCTCCCTTGCGTGTGTTGTGTGTGCGTGTGTGTGCTTGTGTGTGCTTGTGTGTGGTGTGTGTGTGGTGCGTGTGTGTGTTGTGTTGTGTGTTGTGTGTGTGTGTTGTGTTGTGTGTGTGTCTGTGTGTGTGTGTGTGTGTCTGTGTGTGTGTGGTGTGTGTGTGTTGTGTGTGTGTGTGTCTGTGTGTGTGCGTGCGTGGAGCCCTCCTCGGCGTGCTCTTCGCTTGGGGGCTGCCTCCCTGGGGCTCCTGGGCCCTCGGCGACGGGGGTCCTGGCCTGGACCCGCGCCCCTGCCGCCGCGGCTCCCTTTGGCCACCCCCCGGGGGGCGCAGAGGTCAGCCCGCGAGTCGCGTGCGTCGCGGTCCGGGCCCGGCGCCGCTGGATTCTGCGCAAAGGCGGCTGCGCGAGGGCGCGCTTCGCGCATCGCGGCTGCGCGGGGCGCGAAGTCCGGCACCCGATGTCATCCAGGCTGGAGGGTCCCCTAATCCCGAGATGACACGAGGAGGACGTAGCCTCGCTGGGGTTTCCGTCTTTCAGAGCGTGAACTACCTACCCCGCTTTCGCTTCCAGGCAGAACCAAGTCATACCACGCGCCTCCTCGTGAAGCGGCCTGACCAGTGCAGGCCGTAGTTTGGCATCGCTTGGTATCTCTTGGAAGCGAGGGTGGTCAAAAGCGAGGTTGGTTTGTTTGCCCCCTAGAGGACGTAGCCTCGCTGGGGTTCCCGTCTTCGCAGCGGGGATAGTACACTTGGGCGGTCTGGTCCAATCCATCTGCAGAAAGGGCCCCCTATCCCCAGTGTTCCTGGCCCTCCTAACTTAGGTCCGTTCCCAAAGGGTTAAGTCACCGAGCGTGTTCCTATTACTCGCAGAGTGCCTACTCGCAAACGCCGGAAGAAAAAACATGTCCGCTTCGATGTAATTTATCGTAGATCCCCCGTGGCGGATCCAGGAGCATGGCACCATGTGACAGAAGACAAATGAGAACCACATCTTCCCAGCAATCATGGCATCCCAGGACCTTGCTGTGGAAGGCTTTTTTGAGGGCCTCGTGGCAGCTAATTAATTCGGGCATGCTCTTGGGACGTAGTGCGATCACCGTGCCTGGTCTGATGGCACCTTACCACCGTCCCGGGACAATATTTGGCCATGCTGCCATGCTGGGACCATGAAGAGTACCGAAAAGCGACACTCAGCGACGCGATTTGATGATAGGAAGCGGGGTTGCAGTTAAGGCGGGTTGGGTTTGCCTTCGGAGGACTACGTTCTGCCGTCTGGACAGCTGATTCCAACGTGCTGGGGGCATTGAATTGGCACATGTGGCGACCCCGCCCGTGCTTACCTCGCTGGCCCTGCCCATACTTTTTGCTCGCCGCTGGGAGGTTTGACCACGGCTGCGCGACTGAAGTCAGCTCGAAATGGCGCCTCGAGGGTCTCCGCCAGGATCGGGGCCCTGCTGCGGCGCTGTGCGAGACGCCTGCCAGGACAGGGGGCGCAGCCCAGTGCCGGCGCGTGCACGGCGAGGGGCGGCAGAGGCGGGCGGCAGGTTTTGCGCCGCCGGCTTAACAACGCGAGGCTCCCGACTTCGATCGCCAGGCTCGGAGCGGTCAGAGAGTCAAGCAGTGGCGAAGCGTCCTGGCTCGCCCATAGGCCTGCCAAAGACTGTTCTGAGAACCTCTTGTTGTGGTTTGCGCGAAATGTTCTGATAACATTTCTGGTTGAGACTGTCTTGTTTCAACACATCGGACTAATGTTCTAAGAACATTGTTTTTGTTCTTAGGGCATTTCTGCGTTCTGAGAACATTTCGTGGTAGGACTATGGGAATGCCCGGACTGTCGGTCCCTGCTCAAGAGAATGACAAGCCAGAACCAGCTTGCATCGCGTATCGGCTCCTTCGCATCGGCCCCAGCCCCAGGGCCAGATTATTTCCCGCGGGCAGTGTTTTGTGAATGGCTCCTGGGGCCCGGAGAAAGCTGCCCCCGTGGAGGCCGAGATCAGGAACAGAATTGGGGTTATACAATTATCCCAGTGCGACCCTACCTAGGAGTTGGAGCCCCTAGGAAAGCAGCATTCGTAGTAACAGTAAAGCTAAGCTAAGCTAAAACTAAGCTAAAGCCAAGCTGAAGCTAAGCTGAAGCTAAGCTAACGCTACGCTAAAACTAAGCTAAAACTAAGCTAAATCAAAGCTACAGCTAAGCTAAAGCTAAGCTAAAGCTAAGCTAAGACTAAGCTAACGCTAAGCTAAAACTAAGCTAAAGCTAAGCTAAAGCTAAGCTAAAGCTAAGCTAAATCTAAGCTCAAGCTAAGCTAAAGCTAAGCTACAGCTAAGCTAAAGCTAAGCTCAAGCTAAGCTCAAGCGAAGCTAAAGCTAAGCTAAATCTAAAGCTAAAGCTAAAGCTAAAGCTAAAGCTAAGCTAAAGCTAAAGCTAAAGCTAAAGCTCCCAGGGGACTGGGGGAACCGCGGGGCGGATGCCGGGGGAACCGCCCGGGGCGTTTTGCACTGCCCGGCCCCTTTAAGATATAGGGTAAGAACCTTTCTAGGCAGTGCCTAGGTAGGGAATAACAAGTCAATCCGCGAAGGGCTCGTTAACCGTAATTGGCGTCAGCACTCAAGGTGGTCAGCCAATTCCCTTCGATCTCTCCTGGCTGACCTGGGTTTTCGGAGCCAAGTGGAGCCAAGCCCCCCTCCCGCTTACTCGAATCCTGGGTCTGGCGATTGAGTATTTCGTGACCTGCCCTGGCTCAGGACGTAGCCGTGCTTGACCCGGGATGGCGCTGATTCAGGTATGTGCGTCCCTGAGTCAAGACGACGCCCACGACGTCGCAATTTGTTGGTGACGTGGTCCCCTTGGATTGGGAACGTCGACCTCTTTTGTGCGGCGGCTTTTCATGCGCCGTCGGTTTCGATGGTCCCGCGTCCAGGAAGAACCTCCTGGCCTTTCTAAGAAGGTTTCTTTCAAGGCAGAGTTTACAAGGGTTTCGGAGGTTGCTACCACCCCCTGGATTAAAAAGTGGTGATCGGCACCATGCGAGGGAACAACCCTTGGGTCTTCGCCAATCGATAAAACTTCGAGCTTCGATCTTCGATCGGTCCCACGATGAGTCCAAGACAGGCTCGTGACCTGAAAGGAGGAACGGCGCCGCAGGGGTGGCCGAGAAGCGCGGTTGCTAGGACAGCCCAAACGGCATCGCCTTTCTCTGGCGGTGTGAATAGTGGCCGGGAAAGACTCTGTGAGGAATTCTCATGCGATATCGCCACTCTCAAGCGGCATGAAGATCGGTCTGAAAATTTGTTTCGAGGAAGTACCACGCGAAATCGCCATTTTCAGATGCCATGTTCAATTTTCAGATCGCCCTGGAAAGCGATCTGAAAGTTTTCGTGAGGAAGTCACGGAATCGCATTTTCAGATGCTGACCCCATTCGGCCGTTATGTAGTATTGAGAAATGCATTTGAAATTCCCAAATCAGCCCCAACCATTGTCCCGGGGCCCCGCGGTCCAACGGGAGGCCAACCGCGTCTTCCTCGATCCCCACGGTCTCCACTTTTTAATCCAACGGCTAACCGGCGCCAGCGCGCTGAATTTTTTCTGTTGTCTGTTTTTCCATGCTCCACAAAAGCCAGCAGATCCTGCGTCTACTACTGCGACCCACGCCCACCACTTCGTTCGAGATCCGGACAGACTTCCCACGCCGAGCGTTTCTTCGTAACCTGACCGCCGCCAGCGGGCTGAACCACGTTTTTGTTGGTATGTTTTTCCCTGATCCACAAGAGCGCGCGCATCCTGCGTCTATGACAGCGACTCACACTCACCATTTCGTTCGAGATCCTGGCAGACTGCCCACACCGAGCGTTTTTTGACCGCCGCCAGCACGCTGAACCATTATTCCTTTGCATATTTTTCCATGATCCACAAAAAACAGCACATCCTTTGTCTACTGCTGCGACCCACGCTCACCACTTCGTTCGAGATCCGGGCTTTTCCCTGATCCACAAGAGCGCGCGCATCCTGCGTCTATTACAGCGCCTCACACTCACCATTTCGTTCGAGATCCTGGCAGACTTCCCACACCGAGCGTTTTTTCGACCGCCGCCAGCACGCTGAACCATTTTTCTTCTGTATGTTCTTCCATGATCCACAAAAAACAGCACATCCTTTGTCTACTAACGCGACCCACGCTCACCACTTCGTTGGAGATCTGGGCTTTGCCTTGCTCCGCAAAAGCGCGCGCATCCTGCGTCTACTACAGCGACCCACACTCACCATTTCGTTCGAGATCCTGGCAGACTGCCCACACCGAACGTTTTTTGGGTAATGACCGCCGCCAGCGCGCTGAAACACTTTTCTTTTGAATGTTTTTTCCCATAGTCCACAAAAGCGAACGCATCTTGCGTCTACTACTGCGACCCACTCCCACCATTTCATTCGAGATCCGGGCAAAGTGCCCACGCCGAGCGTTTCTTTGCAACCTGACCGCCGTCAGGGCGCTGAATCACGTTTCTTTTTTCCATGCTCCACACTAGCGCGCGCATCTTGCGTCTTACTACAGCGATCCACACCCACCGCTTCGTTCGAGATCCTGGCAGACTGCCCACACCGTTTTTTTTTGTATCGCCGCCAGCGGGCTGAAGTACTTTTCTTTTGTATGTGTTTTTCCATGCTCCACAAAAACAAGCACATCCTGCGTCTGTCACTGCGACCCACGCTCGCCACTTCGTTCGAGATCCGGGCCTGCCTACGGCGAGCGTTTCTTTTTTGTAACCTGACCGCCGCCAGGGCGCTGAACATTTTCTATGTATGTTTTTCCATGCTCCACAAAAGCGCGCGCATCCTGCGTCTACTACAGCGACCCATAGTCACCATTTCGTTCGAGACCTGGGCAGACTGCCCACACCGAGCGTTTTTTTTGGTAACCGCCCCCTGGATTAAAAATGGTGATCGGCACTACGCGAAGCAACATCGCCAATCGATAGAACCTCTAGCTTCGATCTTCGATCGGTCCCAAATTGACTCCAAAACAGGCTCGTGACCCGAACGGAGGAACGGCGCCGCAGGGGTGGACGAGACGCGCGGTTGTTAGGACAGCCCAAACGAAATCGCCTTTCTCTGGCGGCGTAAAAAGTGGCTTGATGAAAAGACAGGAATTCTCAGGCGATATCGCTACTCTCAAGCGGCATGGAGATCGATTTGAAAATTTGTTGTGAGGCAGTCCCACGCGAAATCGCCATTTTCAGATGCCATGGCAAACTTCCAGGTCGCCTTGAAAAGCTATCTGGAAGCTTTCGTCAGGAAGTCTCGGGCGGAATCGCATTTTCAGACGCTGGCCCCACTCGGCCGTTGTAATATTTAAAAGGGGTGAGAGATGCATCTGAAATCCCCCAATCCAATCGGCCCCAACTCCAACTCCCATATCTCATTCATCCAGCGGGTTGCAAGGAGGGCTTCTCGGAAGTATCTTGGCCCCGTTGGAAGGTCTCCGCCGCCTTGAACAGGCCGGCCCCCTCGCGCCACCCTCTTGTGTCGCGGGTGGAGGACGTGTCCGCATCCACGGACTCGCGGGCCGGGCCTTGTGGCCGCGCCCCCGCGGGTACGGGGCGGTTTCTGGCGGATGCCCTGCGCGGAAAGTACCCATGCGGCCGCGCATCCAGGGAACCCAGACCGCGAGGGCGTGGATATTCAGAAGAGGAAAAGGTACCCATACCTCTACCCTTCGCCCGTTTCCCCCTTTTTGGGCCTCCTGGGAGGCCCTCGTCGCCACCGCTGGATTCGCCTGGAAATTCTGGTCAGAACGCACCCCGGTAGAGGTCTGGGGAAGCGATATCGGTACCTTTTTGGTTTCCCCACATATGGATACGTTCGCCGCTCGTGAGGAGGGTCGCCCTAGAACGCACTCCGGGAACGGTCTGGGGGCGGATCCCTTGAGGGGAGGAGGTGGAGAAGAGGAATGGAGAAGCGGGAGGAGGTCGAGCCGTGGACTTGCAGGACGCGCGGCCGTGGCTTCTCGCGAGGTTCGAGGAGGATAATGGCGTTCGCCGCTCATGGTGGTGTGCGCCGCCACGCCACTTGGCATTTGGCACGCTGCGGAGGCGGAGGCGGGCGCAGGGGCGGGGCAGGAGGGAGCGGCGCGCGCTTGGCGCGCCACCGCGCCACCGCGACCGCCCTCGGCACCTTGGCTGCGAGGTGGTACTGGCAGGACGCGGTGTTCGTGAACCCCGAGTGCCCCGGGTATGAGGACGACACGGCTCGCGGCAGTGTCGCCACGTCGTCGGCGTCGCGCAGAGGGGGGCGGGTCGCGAGGGGGGGCGGGCCGCCAAGAAGGCGGTGGGGGGCTCGTGAGAAGGCAGTGGCCTCTGGCGGCCCCCAGGGGATCTCCAGAGGCCTCCGGCGACCTCTGGGGGCTTCCGGAGGCGCCCAGAGGCCTCTGGAGATCACCAGAGAAGGAGGAGCGCCGAGGACGCAAGGCGCGATCCGCAGGCACGACCTGCCCAGGGGTTCCTCCATGCCCCAAAAATAATAAAAAAACAAATGCTCATAAAACAGTCTGGGGACTATTTTTTGAGTAGTTTCTGACCTTCTGGGGGCGTTTTCGGGGTATTTTTTGTTTTTTGTTGAAAATTCCTCCTGTAGGGGGACACGCCCGACATAAGCCTGGGGCTCCACCGTTGCGCGAAAAGCTGGGGAGACCTTGGGCCAGGAACACCTCTGGCCCCCCCCTGCGTGTTGCGGTAGGTTCGTGGCGTGCCGACGCGGCGGCGACCCCGCCGCGGGCGTTCAAAAAGGTTGCGCCGCCAGTGGCCGAGAAAGCTCAAGGTTTACGTCGGGCCTGTCCCCCTACAGGGGGATTTTCGACAAAAAATTAAGAATACCCCCAAAATAATCAAAAAGTAGTCCAAAAATGGTCCGGGGCTATTTTTTGAGCATTTTTTTTTGTTTTTACCTTTTTGGAGTATTTTTGAAGTATTGTTATTTTTTCGTCGGAAATCCCCTGTAGGGGGACACGCCCGACATAACTCATGGTTGAACGCTCCACGCGGCGTCAGAAGCCAACGCCGGGATCGTCGAGGCACGAACTGTCGCAGGTTGGGAGGCGCTTCCAGTTCGGAGGCGCCCCGAGGGCCCGAACTGCACGGACCTCGCGAAAATCCGCCACCGAGGGGCGAGGGGAGCAAACCCGCTCAAAGTCGGTCCCCGGACCCGGACCCCCTCCTGAGGTCCATTTGGTCCAGTTCTCCGCCCAGGATCGAGTTTTTAGACAGTCCCCAGGCCCAGAGACGGCCCCTGGAGGCCGAAAAGGTCAAAATCTGGATCGACGCCCACTCGCCCGAACCGGTGCCGGGCCACCTCAGACCCCCAGCCGACTCCAGCGTCCAATACAGTCGGCCCGGATTGGTAGGTCGACCCTGCCAAATCAAGGGTGCCTTTGTGTCCTGTGTCTCGCGACCCGTGCCTCCTGCATTGCTGTGGCAATGTGACCCTCGGAGGGGTCTTTTGTCCTCTCGCGTGTCCTGTCCAATGAAGTCCGACTGTAGACTCCGAGAGAGCTTCGGTCGAGCGCCTCGGGCTCCCAGGTACTTCATCGCCAGGGGGCTGCCTGTGCCCACGGCGATCAAGTCGGCGCCCCCCACCCCGCTGGAGGAGCCAGGCCAGGGGGGGCTCTTGGATCTGATCGAGGGTCGATCTTGGTGCACAGCGCACGAGGATCGAAGGATGAGGAGCGCCATGACCAAATTGAACTTCTCGGAGTTCCGCACGGGGTTCTTGGATCGGCGCTTGGTCGCCCTGGCGGCGCCTCCGGCAGTGCCCCTGGCGCGCTCCGCGCGCAAGGGAGGGGGTCCAGCGCCGATCCAAGAGATCCGCGCGGACCTCCGAGAAATTCTTCGCGACTCGCGTACCCCCACCAGCCCGTTCAGAAACCCTGCCCATGAGGGCTAACGGGCACGAAGAGACGCATACAGTGAAACAGAAGCGGGCAACCAGAGTGAACAGAGAGGTCTTTGGGAGCAAGGGGGTTGGCCTTGGAGGACCTCTTCGGGCCATCCCTAGGGCCCGCGTGGGGGCAAGGGAAGGAAGAGGAGAATAAGGAGGAGGAGGAGGAGGAGGAGGAAGAGGAGAAGGAGGGCGACGACCACGACCATGACGACGAGGTGGAGGAACAGGAAAGGAAGACGATGGTGGCAAGGACGAGGACGAGGAGCAGGAGGAGGAGGAGGAGGAGGATGACGACGAGGACGAAGACAGAGCATTCAATCTCGCTTCTTGGAGCCCGCTTGGGGCTCTTTCGGGGGATCTTGGGGTCATCTTGGGGCTATGTTTGGGTCTTGGGGCCTTCTTGGAACCCTCTTGGGTTCCAAGAAGGCCCCAAGACTATCTGTGAGCCGCCTTGGAGGCCATCTTGGATCATTCAAGGCCCTCTTGGAGCCATCTTGGGCACCCTGACCGATCGCGAGCTCTCCCGCTCAGACCCATGGACGTGGGGGGAGGTAAACCTCCCCCAGGAAGAGTGTTTTTGGAAGAGGAAAGAAAGAACTCGCTAGACCACCTTAACCCAAAGGGTTGGCGGGATTATGTTAATGCTGTTTACTGTTCCCGAGGATGACCCCAGGCCTCCCCACAAATGGCCGGAGCAGATGGGTGTGTAGGATTAAGTGGGCGGTGCGGCTCGATGTCGAGCCCGATATTCACCACGTTGACGACGCCAGGGCATCGTCGATGTCGCCGACGCATCGGCGATGCCTCGGGGATGCGGTGCGATGCTCGGGCCCCCATGTACTCGGATCCAGTGTGAGAGTCCTGAACAGTGGGACGGCATGTCGAGTGCAGGAGTACCATGCAGCATGTGTGCTAGAGTCAGCGGCAGCGGAGTGGCAGGGCAGGGAGAGGCTCGGCTCCCTACACTCTAGGCGATGCTTAAGAAAACCCAAGTTTTCGGCCAGGGTCTCGATTATTCTTAATGTTTCAATGTAGATCCTAAGATTTGAATAGACATTCTGGGTTTTAATTCAAATTCTGAGATTATGAATTTCTTAACCCATGATTTCTAAAGCATTTCGCGGGGTGTACCACGGTTGACACGAGCCTGATACGCACCGTCTGCGCAGTCTCTCTGGCACGAGAAGCATCACCGCAGCGGGGTTGGCCGAGCCCAGCTCCAGCCAGCGCCTCCCAGCGGCGAGGGCCTCCCCAAGCGCGCGCGCGTAGCGGCGCCGTCGCCAGCGACCCGCGGCAGGCCATGCAACAGCACAGGAAGGTCGGGAGACTCTCCATGGGGGGGGCCTGCCCCCCCATGGGATCCCCAGGGGATCCTATGGGATCCCGCCCCCTGGGATCCTATCCCCCCATGGGATCCCCCCCCATGAAGAGTCTCCCTAGAAGGCCGGGCGAAGCCCGCCAGGAAGGGGTTCGGGCACAGCCGAGCAGTCCAAAGCGCTCGGGAAGTAGGCGGGCGGAGTTCGCAGGCAGGCAGCAGCAGCGGCGGCAGGCGTCGAGTGGCAGGGAGGCGGCCTCAAGTCGCCCACGTTCGATGGTCTCTCGGAGCACCGGCGAGAGCGGTCCTTTGTGACGAGAGCCTTCCTCGGCAGGCAGACGCAGACATCACCGCACCTGCTGAGGGCGGCCGGGGATTCAGAAGGGTCGATCCAGAAGTCGCTGCAGGACGAGGGCGCCTCGGTAAACCATACAATAGGTTTCAGCTTGGCCATGGCCGTGGAAGGCAGTGGTGGTCAGATGTACCTGCGAGCAGTTGAACAACAGGGCGGCGCAGCAGCTTGGAAAGCGGCGTGCAAGATGTACAAACCAGCGACGGCTTGCCGGCCCACAGTACCATGACGGCATCTTTGCCATCAACCAGTTCCCACATACCGTAGCGGAGTTCGTGGAGGCTCAGTGGGGACGCGACATCACGAGGTACGAGAGGGCTTCAGGCGAAGTTTTCAAGTTTGGGCGCGAAGCTGAGCGTTTACCTCCAGAGCGCGCCCAAGAACATCGCGGCGATGCCCCAGATGGCATGCCAACCCGACGTGCGACGAGCGCGTGGCGACCACCGCCCAGCACCTGCAGGCGGCGACGACCGACGACGGCCGGTGTTGGAGGCCCCCACCCCCGCCACCTGGACCTCCAAGGGGCAGGGGGCCCGGGCGATGGAGGTAGAGTCGGAGGAACGAAGAGAAGAACCGGCGGGAAAACGAACCCGACGGACATCACACCCGAGCACTTCAGATGCGGGCGCAGGGGCCGCGACGCAAGGGGCTGCTGGCGCCCAGTGCAGGCGAACGGCCAGACAGGACCCAAGGGGCGTGGTCGCGGGGACCCCCAGGGCAAAGGTAGGGAACGGACCAACCAGGGCGTTTCGGTCAAGGAGCTCAGCGCAAATGGATGCCGTGTCCCGGTGAGCTATTCGCCCAGCAGTGCGGCGGCGTGAACCGCAGGGCTCTTGGCCAGCCAGATCGGGCCACCGATCCAGCACCTCCAGCTCGAGGGGGCGATCCCGACACCCAGAACTCTCTCGGCGAGGCGCAGCTTGGCGGGGGCGGTGGCCGCGGCGAGCAGTTCAGGGCCGCTCGCTCAGGCGCATGCAGGGGCGACGCCAGCACATGCCAGCAACCGGGACAGCGGCTCCCAAACGGAAGCGAGGCGTAGATGACGGGGGTGGCCAGGCCAGGAGCAAGTCACGGATCGCTACGATTTGCGCGGTCAGCCAGGTGTGCAAGGGGCCGACGGTGGAGGACGAGGTCTGCGATAACGGATGCTACTTCCATTTGGCGAGGATGGAGCACCTCGAGAAGAGCACGGGCGACGGCAAGCAGATAGCGAAGCAGATTCCGATGTTCGAGACGACTTCCAACACCTTGGCAGGCAAGTGGATCGACCCTACCAGGCCGACGGCAGCAAAGAGACTAGGAAGACCACGCAGGCATTCGAGCAGCAGACCTAAGGCCATGGGAACTTCGCGGCCACCACCCCGTCACCCTCACACCTGAAGGCGACGTCGGCCAACTCGGAGGTGAATACTCGGTGGCACTCGGCGTTTGCAGTGCAGCATTCTACCAGGCGCCTCTGACGGAACACCGGAATTTTTCGGGGCCGCCGCCCGATGCAGGATAACCAGCAGGTTGCGCGCGGGAAGCGCTGCGCGCGCCCCCCGGACTCGAGGAGCGCCCAAGGCAAAGGGAGATCGCGGCGAGGCGACGATGGAGCAGATGCGTCTTGATCGAGGGTGCTGCGACGGCTTTGTTTAAGGGCACAGAACAAAATCAAGGCAGGACGACGTGCCGACGATTTTTTCGCGGCAGGGCCCCGAAATGCAGCGGGCCAATTGCGGGCGCAGATGAGCGAGAAGCCCGGGCGGGCACAGATAATCGAGATACCTGGGCTCTCGGACGCGTCTAAGCTGTGCAACGCAGGCGACGAAGGCACCTTTTTGAGCGCGCAAGTCCGCGGCATCGAGGGTGGCCATGCCGTCGCTGGCAAGAACATCGCCGACCGAACACGTGCTACTGGAGCTCCAGTTGCAGACAGCGAAACCTTCAGTCGTCCCGCAAACGAAAGAACAAGGTTCAGCAAAAGGACGACGAGGACTTTTCGAACGCGCCAGGCCACGGCGCGCGCGCGGGATGCGCGCGGGGAATGTATTGCAATTTTCAAGCCACAGGGTTGACATTCAGCACGGAGTTGGAGCGCTTTGCCGCGGCATGGGGGCGCCGGCTCAGAGAGACCAGCATGGGCCGAAGACAATGACAAGGCACCTGGCAGGGACCAAGGACGTGGAGTTGGCAGTGACACCAGACAGAGAGATCAGACAGATTTCACAGTGCAGCACGGACGCAGGAATCGCCAGACAACTGGGACGACGTAGTCTCAGTCAGCGACGCTGTACTGAAGTACGACGGGTGCACTGTGCTGTCGTGGGCGCGGGGTCAGGAGTCAGGGCGGCGTGGCCCTGGCTTCAGGGGAACGCGAGCTGCGCGCATGTGGGTCCGGCGCAGCCGAGGCGAACGCGACGCCTGTTTTGCCAAGCGACAACAGCAGTGCACTGCACAACGTGAAAAAGAGGACCAAGAGGACCAGGTAAGATGAAACACGTCGGGATCCGGTTCTTGGCCTTGCAGCAGTATCGCGAACAGAAGCACCTGGAGTCCGAAGTCATTCACGCGGGCGACAACAAAGCAGACGTGTTGACGAAGCCGAAGGCCCAGGAGGAAATCGCGAAGCTCTCCCGCAGCGTAGGCGTAGGCTTTGTAAGCAGACCGGTCCACCTTAGCGGCGACGAACTGGCTGAGGCCTTTTCGGACAGTCCGTAGCAGGAAGGGAGGCTCGAACCAGCATAGCATTTGGGGCCACCTGTGAAGAAGGCATGTTAATGCGCATAAGTTGCCCGCTTTGTTGTGTGCACTATCTGTTCGAATGTTGACGATATTTACTGCGATGGCTGTTGCAGGCTTGTTGATATGTTGCTCGTTGTAGTTGTGGCCTTGCTACTGGCTGCTCTATGTTATGTTGTATGTTCGTCACTGCCAACGCGCAATCGTCGTTGCATGGATTTCCAGCCAGGTCTGCTTCTCTTTTGCACGTCGCCCTTCACATGCTCAGCTCGCTTTTCGTGAACGATGTTGTACGGCGACGGCCTTGCCTGCACATTGCGAGTGTCAGTCGCGCAGGGAACCATTTTTGGGCCGATGTCTGGCGAGTCGGCGAGATGACTTACACAACGGGACACTTGAAAAAAGGCTCCCGATAACGCCACCCCCTTCCCACTCCTCCTCCCCCCCCTCCCCCTGGATGATCGTGGCCGCTGAGCGATTTTGGGGCTGAGGACGTCCCAGTGTCGGATGACAGTTCCCATCGGAAAAGCAAACGTCCTCCAGGCGGGATGAGACAGGGGATGACGGAGGGACGGCGGAGGGAGGGAGGAGGGGGCGAGGAGGAATGATACGTGAAGACGAGATGGCAACATGGCGTGGGGGTGAGGGGGGGCACTGTGCCGTATCAAGGCTTCACGCGAGCGTGGTGCAACGCAATTTGTTTATCCTCGTCATTGTCCCCCTTTTCCTCTTCCTCCTTCCCCTCCCACCTCCTCTGCTTTATCATGCTCGTCATCGGCCCTCCCCAGTGTTCCTGCCGCCGCTGTCCCGCCCCTCGCTGTAGCCGTCGTGAGCATGGTCGTCTTCCACCTCGCGGCGGTCTCGTCGACGGAGTCTTCTCGTCGCCCTGGGCTGTCGCCCTCGCCGTCGTTCTCGTCGTCTTCGCCCCCGTCGCCCCCCGACAGACCAACTGAGCCTCGCGCAGACCCCGAGCCACGAGGACCCCCCGCGCGCCCGCGGCCCAGAGCGACCGCGGCGGGCCCCCGTCCGCAGAGGGTGCCCCCGGCCCTGCGGGCACGGCCGCCGCGGCGTTCCCCGAAGGCTCCTCCCGGAGGGGGCTGGCCGAGGGCTGCCCCGCGGAGCCCCGCGGCGGGCTCCTGCGCCGCTGCTCCCCGACGGCGGGGAGGACCGAGTCTTGACGGCCGAGGTCGCGGGCACGGCAGCCGTTGAGCTCCCCGGGGTTCCGTCAGAGAGGGCCGGCCGAGGCCCCTCCGCTGGGCCGAGTGGCGGGCTCCCGCGCCGCTGCACTCGGCGGCCCCCGTTTGCCCGCCGCCTCCCTTCGAGGATCCTCCTCCTCCTCCTCCTCCTCCTCCTCCTCCTCCTCCTCCTCCTCCTCCTCAATATGATGCTGCTCCTCGTCCTGATGCTGCTCCTCCTAATGCTTCTCCTTCTCTCCATCCTCCTCTCCGCCTCCTCCTCCTTCTCCTCCTCCTCTTCCTCCTCCTCCCTCGTGTTCCTGCTTCTCTTCCTCCTGCTCCTCCTGCATACCTTCCTCCCCTCCCACTGCTGCGCTACGCCGCCACACGACATCCCCCACGCCGGGCGCGCTAACAGCAGGCTGGCGCCCGAAGCGCGCGCGAGCCTCGACGGTCGAGGTATTTAGGGCATTCTGGGGTGCCGTTGTCTTCTCGAGGCTGCTCATGGGCTTCACAGGCCCTACCCTCTGACGTAAGCTGTACCACTGCCGATACCTCTGCTCCTCCCACGCTGCCACTGCTGGATTTGCGTCGAAAGCCTGGTCGGAGAGCGCCTCAGGAGAGGTCCAGGGAGCAGCGTCAAGGTCAACCCGCATAGTAAGGATGAGCGGCTTTCCAAGGCTACCCTTGCATCCTTCCCCTTCGGCCCATCCTTGGCCGCTTTCGCTGGCCGCGCCCCGCTCGCAAAGTGTCGACATGGCCCTCCAAGGCCCTTCCTTGCACCCTCACCGTGCAGCCTTACTGTACGGGTTGACTGTCCCGGTGCCTTCTCGTACCCCCGGGCCGAGGCTTTTGGGGCGTTCTCCCCTGACCTTCCAGGAGGGCTACAAAATAGCACTAGGACCTCGACAGCTCATTTCCTGTCGAGGTTTTAGGCAGTCCAGATAGGTCTATAGGTCTGAAGGGCCATTTTTGTTAGCACTCTGGAAGGTCAGGGTCTGGGGCCCCCCTGTGTCCCGGAGCGTGTTGGGGCCTCGCCGGCCGGGCGACACGGAGTCCGCCCCCCGCGCAGGGCAGAGGGGCGCTGGCTGCCCAGGTGTTCTCTCCACCCCTCCATGCCGCCTCGTCGTCCTCGTCGTCCTCGTCGTCCTCGTCTCCCCCCCATGCTCGTGTCCTCGTCGTCCTCGTCGTCCTCTGGATCTCGGCCTTGCTCGCGCGCTGGCTGGCGCAGACCTTCTGTGCAGTGCCGCTGCCGGTGTCGGGTTGGCCATCCGGTGGCCTCGGAGACGCTTTTGAAAGCCATCAGGGCGGGTGTGCTCAGCAGGTTTCGAGACACGGGGGGGTCGTTCCCTTACCTTCCAGAGTGCCAGCAAAAATAGCCCTTCAGACCTATAGACCTATCTGGACTGCCTGAAACCTCGACAGGAATTTAGGTGTCGAGGTCCTGGTGTTATTCCCTACCTAGGCTCTGCCTAGAAGGGTTCTTACTTCCTTGGCTTAAAGGGGCCGGGCAGTGGAAATCGCCCCGGGCGGTTCCCCCAGTCCCCTGGGAGCCAAGCAAAAGCAACAGCAAAGGTAAAAGCAAACGCGCGGTTCCCCCAGTTGCGCTCCCTGGGTGCCAAGCAAAAGCAAAAGCAAAGGCAAAAGTGAAGGCAACAGCGAAGGCAAAACAAAAACATAGCATAGCATAGCATAGCATAGCATAGCGCAGCATAGCATAGCGCAGCATAGCATAGCATCGCATAGCCTAGCCTAGCCCAGCATAGCATTGCGCAGCATAGCATAGCGTAGCAGACCAGAGCAGAGCAGAGCATAGCATACTCCAGATTTCGTAATAAAGGGAGGGGGGTCTCATTTCGGGGGGGGTCTCTTCCAAGCTATCTTGGAGGGCCTGGGGGGGTCTGGGGACGATGTTTTGGAGGGTTCTCCCCCAGGGGGGGAAGTTCTGAAATGGCTTGTCTTGGAGGGTCCAGACCCCCTCCCTTTTATTACGAACTCTGGAGTAGCGTAGCATAGCATAGCGAAGCACAGCATCCACTAAGGACGCAGCATAGCATAGCATAGCATAGCATAGCATAGCATAGCATTGCGCAGCATAGCAACTACGACGATGAGGAGAAGGAGGAGGACGGCGTTTACCGCTCCTACTAATGTTGCTTCCCTAGATGCTCCAACTCCGAGGTAGGGTCGCACTGGGGTAATTTGTTAACCCTCCTCAAAGGTCAGGGTTTCAGGGCCCTGGGGCCATCATCAGAAACGACCAGATGGAAAATCGGTGTAACATCGGTCAAGGGGTCGAGGCGTGTGTGGGCCGAGGATCGCGCTTCGCGCGGCAGGGCCTGGACCAGGGAGCTGCCTCTCTCAAGGGGGGGTTCAGGGCGGCGGGAAGACGACCGCGAGTCGTGGGGCGCGGGGCGCGAGGTTAGCCAACATTGCACAAGAGACACGGCGTCGGAGGTATGGGCGTTCATGGCGGGCTCGTGTCGCTTCCGCGCGGCGGCAGTGTGGGCGCGGGCGCTCAACCGTCCTCCCCAGCGGTTCCTATCAGGACGCCGCAATCGGCCAGCAACTGCCCCTCGGACCAATCCGAGGCGTTGCCGACGCCGTTTTGGTTCCACCGAACCTTGCCCCAGAGGGAGGGCAGGTGGGGCGGGGTCAGGAATGGGAAATATGGTTCTAGGGCACTCTCGAACGGCCGCGGCGGCCGATACATCATCCAGGACCGCCATATTTCCGAGATCCCCGATCCATCTCAGTCCGATCGACGTGGTCTTGGTCCTGGTTTTGTCTTAGGAGGAGGAGGTGGAGGAGTACGAAAAGGAGGAGGAGCAGGAGGACAGGAGGAGGACAGGAGGAGGAAGAGGTGGGGGACCCGGGGTCCGCCCGCACCTTGGCGAAAAGCACGGTTGATTTGAAGCTTGCGTTTGTCCGTCCAGAAGTTCCCCCGCAATGTTCTCCCCCCCTTCCGGAAGTCAAAGCAGCTTCTTTGACGCCAATGTGAATTTTTAAATTGTGTTGCAAAATCACAGTTGGTACCAGGGTAATGATGCTAAGAGATTCCAGCCCAGCCTGTGCCCTCGGTATTGTGCGCCATCCGCTTTTCGGAACTCGATATGAAACGACGGGGGTCGGGAGATGCGGAACGAAACGAGTGCTTACACATACAAGAGCGACGTTTTCAGATCAGGGGGCATCTATCTATCTATATATGTATACCTCGGCTTGGCCTATAGAGTCTTCCTCCCTGGCTTGCTTTGCCCGTCTAGTGAAAGGAGGGAGAGGAGAGCAGGGAAGGGGGGAAAGGACCTTGAGGCGAACCCATCACAAACCAGTGATGCTGCAGCAGGCCCTCCCGTCCGAAGTCCCTCCCTTCATGAATCCACATGAGTACCGCCTGTTTTCTCAGCGGGCAGGGCCCAAGGAGGGCAACAAGTTGTCATGCACCGTGCCGTCCGTTTGTCTGTCTGCCTGTCTGTCTGCCTCCCCCGAGCAGGCGAGGCAGTTGTGGTCGTGTCAAAGCGCCGTCGTGCAGTGAGTTGGTTCGTTGCAAGTGCAGCGTGGCACACGGCGGAAAGGACCACATCATCGAGACGTGGGACGAGGGCTATTCGCACGAGCAGGACGGGCCCGGCGGGGTCATATGATCGAGCCAGCGTGATTTCATGTCTAGCAGTCTTTCCAGCACGGTCGGCGATGTTGGGGTAAGGAGCGTTTGTCGAAGCAGTGGTTGTCCTGATTTGGCGCTGTCCCATGGCTGATGGGCCACTTCGGTCGCCGAGCGTGCTCGTTGAAGAGGGTCATTTAAATAGATCTTCGTGTTGCCAGATGCAGCGAAGTTTCACACATGAGAGCCGCTCTCACTATGTAAGGGTTGTCGATGTTGCTCTATGTATGTGGTGGCATGGCGATGGATTCCAGTAGTATCATCTTTTGTGAACCTGAAGTGTCCACTGTCTGTTGCGCCTGCGTGTGAGAATCCGTGATGGACGCTGCTTTTTGTTTGCCCTTCTTTCTGGCTGACTGTGCTTGGCTGCAGAAGTGGTGTGGACGAGGGGAACGAGGAGGCGGACGAAGGCGAGGGAGGAGGAAGGAAGAGGAAATGGGGGGAGCAGCGAGCGACCGCATGTGCAGGATGCATGCCAAGTTGGCTCACATGATGTTTTCACCTCCTGCGAGTAGGTTCCACGATCCGGCCCCAGCCAGGGTCCAAGGTGCATGAGGAGGGCATGTGCGAATGTGCTAAATCACATAGCGTAATATATGTACATAGCGGTCGGTCTGGTACCCCTCTCCGAAGCATCAGCCCACGCTCTGGTTCCAGGCGGATGCCGTACGACCTCTGAGCTTTGCTCTGGTGGCCTCTGTCAAAGGTTCAGAGAATCTGCACGACCCGAGGCGTCTGTGGTTTCACTGATGCCTGAGCCTCCGCCCGCACCTGCCCAACCCCCTCAGATCGAAAGGCACGGTAGGAAGCACGACCTTGGCATTTTCTTTTTGATGGCTGCAGCGTCTGCCAGCGGCCATGGTGATCATAGCCGACCGGCGCTGGCATCTCCACGCCCCCCTCCCTGGCAGGAGGCCGCCCTCATCGTCGAGTACATCAGCAGGCCGCCGCTCTTCTCCCCACTGCCCCTGCTGTCCACCCCGGTGCTCCCTCGGCCCCCCGCCCCGAGGGGTGCGATCTCAGGAGTAGGATGGACGTTGGGCTTCGACGACCTACGAAACCATGTCGGGAAAAGTCCGGGATCGGGTCTGGCCCGGTGGAGTGCGGGCGGACGGCAGCGGGGGGGCCACCAGCGTGGGGGGATCGAGGGTTGCAGGACCGTGGCTCTCTAACGGGCCCTCGGTTGCCACCGCGGGCCGAAAAGAGCACGTCCGTTCACCCCACGACCACTGCCGCCCTGTCATCGAACACCCGAAGAGTTCAAGGGGGAATCAGTTCTGCGAGGGGGTGTGTTTCAGGGGGCGACAGAACGCGGTACACAGAGTAGAGTCCAGTCACTTGCGGAACGCATTCAGGCCCACCCGCCGAAGCAGAAAGGCGTGTGCCAGCCGCATTACCGTGATAAGGCTCCCTACTCCTTCGCAGCCGTTGCCCCATAAGGCTCCGCATTCGTACCAGGGGCCGTCGCTGCAGTGAGCTGACCGTGAAAGCGACGATGCGAAGTTGTTGAGGATCGTAACTAGTTCATCCCGCCCCCGCCTTCGACATTGACGGGTTCGTCCAAGCCCGCAGCGAACGAGTTTCGCAAGTGCACGCGCAGAGACATCATAATATGCTGCATTTGGAAACAAAAAATAAGTATCTCGCACGACTTAGTAGCGTCACGTGTCCCCACAAACCCATCCAGAAACAATGCACACGCGAGTTGCACTGAACAGTGAAGCGTAGCAGCATGCAGCAGAATACAGAGGGGGCATCCGTCAAACCAGAGTTGTCGATCAGCCCAGGCAGACCGAGCAGTGAACCACATTTGTGTTCGCGGCCTTGTCGGATGAGGAGGTCGCAGAGGAGGACGGATGAAGAGGATGCGGGAGGACGAGGAAGAGGAGAACGTGGAGAAGGACGGATGAGGAGAATGGCAAGCAGTAGAAATATGAGTTTGACGGATCACGTTCCCATTCAATATTTGACGACATTTGGCCGGAAGGAATGAGGAGGAATACGCGGACGAGGAGGGGGGAGGGGGAGGAGGAGGACCCGCCACAAAGATATGTATTATGTATATATATATACACACGCGGACACCTTCCAATGGATTGCTCCTGGCCCTCAGGAGAGGGTGGCGGTGTGTGAATCACCACTGGGAGCCAGCGAAGTTATACACCGCCACCCTCCTTGAGGGTGTCTGCGCATACATTTCTGCGGCGCAGAGTAGGACACGGAGGATAGGTAGCATGATGGTCAGTTCTAGCTCACTGATCACGATGGCGGTGAGCTGACAAAGTATCTCCAGCGCCCCGTGCGCCTGCTGATCAAAGTATCTCCGCCGGCGCCCCGGCTCAAGCCTTCTCTGTGAGGGGCCTCAGGCGGCCTCGCGCGCTTCGCTCGGCCGCTGCACGAGAGCTGCGGCCCGTGGGGAGCCCTGCTTGCGCTCCACGCCTCCGTGGTGTGGGTGGCGCGCCGCTGGGGCCAGCCGGGGCCCCGCCAGTGCCCGCGGCGGCGCATCGGCCAGAGCCGCCGCCGGCGGCCCCGGCACCCGCTCCGCAGGCGCGGAGCTGTCCGGCGGCTTCGCCGCCAATGTTCGCGCAGGTCCAGGACTTGTGCGAGGAGCTCGCGCGGTGCGTGCCGACGCCGTCCCTTTCTAGCTGGTAGATCTGTCCTGACCCCTGTCCGGCCTGCCCCGAGCCCGAGAAGGGATCCATGCACTGGGGCGTCCAGCTCGTCGGTCTTTTCACGCCCCTGCTGTGGGAGGCCTTCTCCTTCTGCTTGGCCGCCGTGCGAGGTTGGCTCTGGCGCCGGCTTTTTGGCGCCTGTGCGGTGGAGGCCGCCGCGGCGCCTTCGGCCGTCATTGTCGGCCCAGTGGAGGCCAGCAACGACCGCAGGTTCCCGCGAGACAAGAGCCGAGTGTTAACCAGATGGACGTTGGTAATGAGCTGCTGGTGTGTTACGCTGTGCCTCGCGATCCTCTGCTACACCGTCGTGTTGTGCTTCGGGGCTGTTCGCAGGAGCCGCTGCACGCCGCCGTGGCGTCGCCGGACCCCGACGTCTTCATCGAGGAAATCACGCCGGACAACGGCGACATCGCGGCGTGGTACCGCTGCGGGTTTGTTTGCGTCTTGCCAGCCGCTGCCACGGAGATGGCCATCTACGACTTTCACCAGCCGGTCACGGCGAACGAATTTTGTCAGCCTGGTGCCGATGGCGAGAGGTTTGGTCGTGGCCCACGACGCCTGCCCCCAGGCCGCGCGCGGGCCCCCAGTTGCTGTGGTGCCTGCGGCTGCCCTGGGCGCGCCTCCCGCCGCTTGGGCGGCTGTCGCAGTCGTTCCCGTCCCGCCCGCCGCCGCGGCCAGCGGGGTGCCCGGCGGCGCTGGGCTGGGCCTCGATGGCGGCGCCGCTGGCGGCTTCGCTGCTCCCGTGGGTGGGGCCGCTCCTGCGCGCCTGCAGGAGGCGCCGCGGCTGCCGCTGGAGGAATGGCTGCCGCCGCGCCGGGAGGAGAACCTCTCGCCGCCGCGCCGGCCGCTGCGGATGGGGACGGTCGCGCCGGGCTCGCGGCCGCGCTGGCCGGCCGCTCGCCGCCTCCAGTGCCTGGCGCTGGTGGCGCGGGGTCGACGGTGGAGTCGGCGCGGCCAGGCAGCGCGATGGGGAAGAGTGTCTGGCGCCGGCACTGTGCTACGACATCAACGGAAAGCGGCGCAGGAGCTAGCGTCGGCAGCGGTCTTGCTCGTCACCATCGCGTGGCCAGATTGGCCCATCCCAGGGCCACGCGCCTTCTATCGGGTGGTCGTCTTTGCGCTGAAGAGCGGCGGGTCCACCTTGGGCCACCATGCGCAGCGGGGGTCGCTCACCCAGCGGACGCTCGACGTCATCGCGGTCAAGGGCCCTTTGGAGTTCAGCAGGATATTAGAGACGTCGTTCTGCTGCGACAATCTCGATGGCGGCGATTGCGCGTCGGTCGAGCTCGTCGCCAGGCAGGCAGGTCCAGCTCTGCGAATAGCACCATCGAGACCTTCTTCTCCGCACAAAACCAGGCGATGATCATCGCGACGACAACGACTTCACTGGGATGGCCGCCGCCCGAGGCCCCGCGGTGGCACCAGCTCTCGCCGCGCGAATCTCGGAGCAAACAGCCCAAGATAATAATTTCGATTGCCGAAGAAAGGCGCAAGGCGAGGGAGGGGCGAGCGCTGGCCGGGCCCAAGAAGGAGGCCAAGGGCGGCAAGGATGGCGGCGAACAGCCGTCAGCCGCTCGCAGTTCCGGCTGCCTGCTGCCTCATAGCCCCCGGCTGGCAGGCCGCGGCGTCTTCGGCATCTCCGGGATGTATCGCCAGCGCGACGACGTTTCTTTTCTCCCCCCGCATGTCCCCGCCCCCGGCACGGGTGGCAGTCGGGCAGACGCGCGCCGAGGGCTTCGCCGGCGGCGCGCCCTCGACGAGCGGGCCAACGACGGCGCGCCCCTGCCCGCGGCGACGCGTCGGCGGAGGCGCCGACGGCTGTCCAGCAGCAGCGCCTCGAGCATCATCCCCGCGGGGGCCTCCTTGGGCTCTGCGGCACCGCCGCCGTGCTCGGCGGGAACTCCGCCGCCGCCGCGCCCTGCGACGGGGGCCCCGCGCCCTGTCCGGCCGCGGCGGCGGCGCCTGTCGACCTGGCCCCCGCGCCCGCCGAGCACGCAGCTCACGGGCGAGGGGCTCGGTGGCCGAGATGCGAAGACATCCGGCTGCACCGGCTGCTTCGCGGTCCGAGCTCGGACTTCTTCGTCTATGCGTCGAACCTGCCTTTTGCAACCGGCGCGTCCACTCGGACTTCATCGAGGGGGTGCCAGATCGCGGCGCGGCTCGCCTCGGGCCCGCGACCGCCCCGGCGGGGCCGTTCTTCGCCGGCGAGAAATCGGTCCAGCGGCGGATCATTTTCGACGCGCGGTTGGCCAATGGCGACGTCGAGCCGCATCCATCGACCCGCCACCTCCCATGGGCGCCCGCCCTTGCGAGGATGGGGGCCCACGAGCGCGACGTCGTCTGGTGCTCGATTGGGGGCGTCCAGGACGCATTCTACACCATGGCCGCGCCGCCGGAGCTGGGCCCCCTCCAGGCTTTCGCCATTTCTCGCGTGCGGTTGGCCGACGCGAGGTCGGCGGGGCGCGGCCTGCCGCCGCTGCTCCGCTGACGCCCGCGCTGGCCGCGCTGCCCGCGAGGTGGGTCGGGGCGCTGCGCCTCGACCAGCTCGTCGCTGAGGAGATGCAGGCGAGGGGCGGGGTGGGCGCAGACGCTGTGGTCAAGGACCGCGCGGCGAAGAGCCCGCCGGGCCATGCCCGCCCGCTGGTGGCCGCCAGCGACGCAGACAACCCCCCGGCCCAGGGCGCCCCCCGCGCGCGCGCGGCAGCGGCTTGGCGGAGCGCGACGGCTAGTTTCGTCGACTGGGGTTTCTTGGTTTACGAGAGCACCGCCGAGGCCGCGGGCGAGACCGACATCGCGCACTTCTCTCGTGGCGGGCGGGCCCGCGCGGCGCGGGCGACGCCTCGCTGGGCGCGGTGGCTCCGCCTCGCCATCGAGGGGCCGTTGGTTCGGGGCCGCTACTCCGGGCGCGTCCTGCAGGAGGTCGCGGGGCGAGCCGCTTGGCTCGCGCTGCCGCGGCGCCCCGCCCCGTCGATCTGCAACTTGGCGCGCGCGCCTTCATCGAGGCCCATCAGCGCCAGGTGGAGGCGCCGCGGGGGCGCGTGGCGACGGAGCTCCAACGCGCAAGGCCCCCGCCCCATGTCGCGGCTCGACCCGGCACCAAGTGGCGCCCCAGAGTGGCCGCCGGCGACGCCGCCCATTGGGGCGGCGGCGCTTGCGCGCGGCCCGCCTCGGCGGGCCTCGCGCTGGCCGCTGGCGAGGGTCGCTCGGCGGCCGGCCACCCAGCTTCGGGGCGCGCCGCGGGAAATTGTTTTTCGCTTCGCGCATCCCGACC